TAATAATACAAGAATAAACGCAGTTTTGCATATTCACAATTGTAAACCTACTTTTGAACCACCCTTGGTTATCATTATCAAGTATACGTACTTTACACAATTGTATGTGCTATATTTTTAGTGACTAGCAGCACAGTAGTTTTGTTTACACCAGTATCACATACTAGTAAGTGAAAACCTACACACAAAAGGACATATAGAGTTGACTCTTGAACAACATGGATTTAAACTGGGTAGGTCCACTTGTAAAATATATTTTTAATAAATACTGTGAATGTATTTTCTTATGATTTTCTTAATAACATTTATTCTCTAGCTTACTTTATTATAAGAATACAGTATATAATACATATAACATACAAAATGTGTTAATCAACTATGCTATCAGTATGGTTTCTGGTCAACAGTAGGCTAAGTTAAGGATTTACAAAGTCAAAAGTTATATGTGGATTTTCAACTGTGAAGAGGGTTGGTTCCCCTATGCTCTGTGTTGTTTAAGAGTCAAATGCATTTCAAGGCTATTCACTATATAAACATCCTTATATAGTTCAGAAAATGACTGAATTGTATACTTCAGAAATGGTTAAGTGTATATTATATAAATGTTACCTCAGTTAAAAAAGATATATATATTGCCAAAACCGGTTTGGCTCAGTGGATAGAGCGTCAGCCTGCGGACTCAAGGGTCCCGGGTTCGATTCCGGTCAAGGGCATGTACCTGGATTGCGGGCACATCCCCAGTGGGGGGTGTGCAGGAGGCAGCTGATCAATGTTTCTCTCTCATCGATGTTTCTAACTCTCTATCTCTCTCTCTTCCTCTCTGTAAAAAATCAATAAAATATATTTAAAAAAAAAAAAAAGATATATATATATATATATATATATATATATATATATATATATATATATATATATATATGCCTAAGCAACCATTATGAGCGGCTGAATGACTAGTCGACCACCGCTATGACGACACACTGACCATCAGGGGGCAGATGCTCAATGCAGGAGCTGCCCCCTGGTGGTCAATGCACTCCCACAACCAACCTCCCACAGCCGGCCAACCTCCTGTGGTCCCTCCCCTGGGCCAGCCAGCCCTGATTGGCCCCCGATCGCCAGCCAGGCCAAGGGACCCCACCCATGCACAAATTTGTGCACTGGGCCTCTAGTGTAAAAATAATAGAGCTTGTTTTCTTAAATATATTTCAGGTACTAATTTTTAGCTTTTTTCTAAATTGTTCCGTAAAAGATAGTTACTCATAACTTACTCATTTCTTAAACCCCTGCTACTCATTGTTTTCTTTCTTTTGTCCTAAAGGAAGTCTTCCTTCTGATGCTCTAACATTAAAAGTAACTTCTACCCTTACTTATAGAGAGATGAGTTTGCATTGAATTTTTGTGTTGATATAAATAAAAAGATTTCTAGTGAATTCACAATTTTTAAACCCAACAGCAAAGAATTTAAAATTTTAGATAAAATTGATGTTTATATTGCAGTTTCTTGAGTTCCTCAGCTTTGATGAGGTTCTTAAGTTCTCAATTTTTATGTTTTAAACTAGAGGCCCGGTACACGAAATTCTTGCACGGAAGGGGGGGGGGGTCTTTCAGCCCGGCCTGCATCCTCTCGCAATCCAGGACCCCTTGGGGGATGTCGGGCCTAAACCAGCAGTCGGACATCCCTCTCGAAATCTGGGATACTGCGTGCACCAGTGACCATACTTTTCATACAGGTGAAAGGCATCTTGCTGTTGTATGGGCAGCTACATTTTTTTAGCCTGATTATAAAAAGCAGTACATAACATGATCCTTCTGAGGCAGTAGTACCATTTTCCTCATCTTATGGGTGGGAAAACTGAAGCAGAGATAAATTAAGTAATTGGCTTTGTCACACAGTTATAAGTGTCAAAATCAGGGCTGATCACAAAATGTGCAAGCCAGAGTCCATGCATGTCATCGCTGAATCATCCTGTTTTTTCAGTGTTAGAGTAGCCTTCCAGGTTTTACTTTTTAAATCTTAGAGACTGTTCCCAATATATAGGGTAGGGTCCGTAGGCTTGGCTGGCGATCAGGCCCATCTGTGGGGTGACCAGTGGGTGGGGCAATCGGGGGCTCCCTCTGGTACCTGCCTTGGCTGGCAGCCTGGCGCTGCCCTGCTGGCTGGCCCTGTCCCTGCACTGCAGCTCCCCTGGTGGTCAGTGCGCATCATAGTGACCGGTTGTTCTGCCGTTCGGTTGATTTGCATATTAGGGTTTTATTATATAGGATTATTCTAACAAGAATTTAATTTTGGGGGGTAATCAACACCCAGAACTCTTATTGACTCTTTAGCCAACTACATTTTATTTAAATAATTAGCTATATGAAAAGAACATTGCTAGTCCAAGGTTATATTCCTAGACACTTTAATGTCAGTAAATAAATACAAACTTTTTTTCACAAGAATGGAGTATGTTTTATAGGAAAAAGTAAGTCAACAGTCAAGTTTTTATTAAAAAATTAAGTCTTCCTCTGGCTGGTGTTGCTCAGTTGGTTGGGCATCATCCCATGCACCAAAAGGTTGCCAGTTTGATTCCCAATCAAGGTACATGCCCAAGTTGCCGGCTCGATCCCCGGTAGGGGGCGTGCAGGAGGCAGTTGATTGGTGCTATGGTCTCTCATCAATGTTTCTCTCTCCCTTCCTAAAAAAATCAATAAAATACGTATTTTTAAATTAAATCTTTGCAGGTTAAGGTAAAAATACTTTAAATAAGAAAACTCCCTTGTGTTTCAACCAATCAGAAGCTAGTTTATCTAGACATACTAACATTTCCCCCCTTTCCTTTCAAAAAAGCTTAATGATAAGATCTATCCTGAAAGAAATAAATTCAGTATTAACTCATGTCTAAATCACTGGGGTTAAAACTTCCAGCCATCCAGATCAGTTAGAGATTCAGAAGCAGTGGAGGCTGCAGCTGGGGGGTGGCCTCCAGAGGAGCAGCTCCAGGCATTTCCAGGGCTTAGGAACAGAGGGAGCCAGGGGCTTGGCGTCTCAGGTGAGACTTGGGCCCTACACGGGTCTCTTCTGTATAAAGTCCTCTGTGGCCCAGTGACCTCTATATATGGCTGTAGAATAAGTCTGCACAGTTCCTGATGAGTCTAAAGCAGTGATGGCGAACCTATGACACGCGAACTCATTTTTTTGATTTTTCTTTGTTAAATGGCATTTAAATATATAAAATAAATATCAAAAACATAAATCTTTGTTTTACTATGGTTGCAAATATCAAAAAAATTCTATATGTGACACAGCACCAGAGTTAAGTTAGGGTTTTTCAAAATGCTGACACGCCGAGCTCAAAAGGTTCGCCATCACTGGTCTAAAGTCTATGCATTCAGAGAAATATTTTTATATGCTTTGTGTAGTTTATAACAAAGGGTGTTTTTTTTTTTTTTTTTTTAGCTCTGTTAACTGTGAATTCACCCCTCCTCCTCCACTGCATATTTAAAGCATGTGTTCATACTGTGGGCAAACATCCTCTGAAGATAATTTTCTTTGTGCATTGCTGACTATTCAAATATAACAAGTATTATTAAAATTAAATATTAACTAAAAAATTTTGGAAGTAATACTTTATTTAAATAAACCAACATATCTTGTTGCTATGTGGTTCATTTTCATATAGCTAAGAAAAAAGTTCTCACAGAGATTTCTGGAATGTGAGATAGTGTCCCCCCCAAAAATGTACACACACTTAAAGCTGATAGCTCAAATTCTGTTTCTTTCTCTTCAGATTTGACCCATTGGAATTAATAATCATTCAAAGTGTGCATACATTTTTTGGGATACCCTGTATGAGAGGATTCCACTATAATACTAATTATCACAGCCTCTGCTCATCAATGAAAAAACAAGTAAATCTTTAGTTATAGCAAAAAGAAAGACCAATGCTTTGTTGCTCACCATGTTTTCTAGCTGTTAATACATTGAGAACACTAAAAATATAGACTCACCTTCTAATGAACCAGTACTTTAAATTTAGCTACATCAGTGGTTCTTAACCAGGCTGACTTTGCCCCTCAAGGAATGTTTGGCAATGTTGACAGATATTTTTGGTTGTGACATCTTCAGAGTGCTACTGGCACTAGTGTGTGGACTCCAGTGATGCTGCTAAATCTATAACACACAGGTCAGTCTCTCACAGTAAGGAATTATCAGACCCAAATGTCAAGTTTGAGAGACCCTGAGCTACATTACTGGTCTCATCTATTTCCAGCCTAAAATCTACATCACAATATCAAAATTATTCACTGAAGCTGTTTTGTTTTAATGTACAAGATGTAAATTTGATTTGTAATTATAAGACCTTGGGTAAGCAATACAATCTCAGGAAGAAGAGGTTAAAAATATTCAATAGAAAACTGACAGAGTGAAATATAAAAGAAAATATAAATCAAACCACAGCTATGTATGACCAAAATTTAAAGATCTCGTTAAACTTCTCATTTGCAATGTAAATAGTACAGGACATGACTGAAAATTAATGGGTATTGCAAAGGTTCATTCTATATTCATGGCATATAAATACCTTTCCTGTAAGACAAAATTTAAAGGAACAGCTATAACTAACTCTGTGTTCTTATTTGAACTTTCACTGTGCATGCCTTTGCTGGCATATTAAGTTTGCTTTGGAAGGAGGTAGGCATTAAATTAAACTGTTTTTTCTTCCTGATACTTCATCAAGAAATAATAATAAAAAAGGAAATAAAAAAGAAGTTGCATCCCAATGGAATTCTATTTTTTAAACTTCTTAGCACTAAAAAGCACTTTTAGGATATTTAGAATATCATTAATTCCAAATCAGATTGTCCCTTAATCTGTTAATTTCTTAGAATTAAAAAAAAGGGGGGAGGAACAAGGGGTAACAAAATGATTTTTATATTAAAGTCTCAATTAATACAGATCCCTGAAAGTCAGTTTAAAATAGAAATCAAGTTTCACAAAATAAATACACTGAAGCAACTATAATAGTAATACTTTTATTTAAAATACTTGTTAATCTAGGAAAGCTTCTTTACATGAGTTTCCAACTAATTATTAGAGTCAGAAACAAAGAAAATAAAACCAGAGAAAATCCTCTGTAGAAAAAATACACAGGGACATTTATTTCTACATGTGAAAAACAGTAAACAGTCTTAACATCTGCATATCCAAGTCTCAGTCTCAATTCCATCTCTCCTAGTGAATACCACTATCAACTTTGACATCTGATTTGTTCTTGTCATTCTTCACTGAATAGATGAAATATGTTAAGGTGTCTTTTTCATTCACTGGAATAGACCTAAAGTGGCAACCAACTATCTATGAAGAAAAAAAATGGAGGAAATTAAATTATAGGTATTAACAGATTTCATAAACTAGGTAAAAAACACTTTCATCAAAAGAAAAAGTACTATGTGATAATAAGAGCTATTTCCATTTAAAAATAAACTGTATTCAACAAAATACCAACAGGACAAAGAGCATATAAGAATAAGATGTTATGAACAAGAGACAGTGTGATTTCAAAGGACACTTCAGCCTACTCAATTACTTAAATATATATTTACTTTTATTTATTTTAAATTTTATAACTGGAATCTAGGTTAGAAAGAAGTATTTTTACTTTTTAAACTTTAAATGTCAATGAAATAAAACAGAATGTAAGAGTCCACATGTATCATGTAATGGTTTAGGCCCTATTCATAGAAAAAGAATAAATATGAAGTTGAAAGTTTGGTATTATAGAAACAAACCATAAAATATGATACAAATATGTTTGCTACAAATTATGTTCATTCATTCATTGGCAATATTCTTTGTTAAGGCGTCTTGAAAAATTTTCTGAATAAAAATTACAAATGGAAAATGATAGGAAAAAAAGGGATGTTCACTGAAGAATGTTTTCCTGATTTCTTGCTTTTTCACTAATCTAACATGTGCACTGCAACTACCAATAGAAGTACAGTTAACTAAACTGGGATGCTCAAGAGCATATCTAGATTCTGGAAGATAAAAATTCTTAAAGAAAGGTTATCAAATGAGTAAGAGACTTAAGGAGGATCGTTATTCAATTCTGGAATCACTTATAAATACCTATATTTCTGACTAAATAAACTATAACACTAACAGGCTATTTGTTTATTTTTTTATTTATTGAGTTTAGAGAGAGGAAGAGAGAAAGAGAAAGGGAGAGGGAGAGAGATTTGTTGCTCCACTATTTATACATTCATTGGCTGATTCTTTTATGTGCCCTGGCTGGGGATCAAACCCACAACCTTGGTATACCAGGACAATGATCTAACTAACTGGGCTACCCGGCAAGGGCTACACTCATGGCTATCTGGATTATGGGTATTTCTCATTTAAAAAAAAAAAAAAAAAAAAGCTCTAGGAAAAAAAGTAATTTTTCTAGATTAGATTATCAAAAACTTCAGGTTTAGTTTACACATTTAAAATAATTATTTCTTTGGTTCTGATCTGTCTTAAAACAAAGTACTTCTACTTGATTAGTCTATGTAATTTTGATATAGTTTCATCATAGTAGATAATATCTATATTTATGTTATACTAATGTGCTATATAATCCAAACAGACTAGATATTTTAAATCAGATTTAAAAACAACTTGATTTTTGTTGACTAGCCAAGAAGAAAGAAAAAATTTTGGCTAAGAAATTAATATATTGGATCTTAACAATGTTAAAAAGCATTTCATTCTGCCAAACAGCTGTACCTGCTATTCATCCTTTATCTTATTCAATATGCACATTTTAGAAAATGTTGGATTATTAAATTCAAAATAAAGAATATGAGAAAAATGATTTATATATTTACATTTTTATTCTGCCTAGATTAACATTTTTAGTTTAAATATAATTAAAGTATAAATATGTAAATCAATAAACATCTTAATATAATACTTACACTAACAACAGAAGTACAGACTTCTTGGTTCTATTTTTCCTGAGCACACACACACATAAACACACACACATACACTCAACTTTTCAAAATTCACTAAAGGACTAGAACCCCTACATCAAAACAAACTATTTAAGTAAAAGCTTGGACACAGTCTTTGCATCTTCTAGATGTGAAGAAACCATGGATGCCTAGCCCCATTCACTAAAAGGACACTGATTCAGTAACGAATAAGTTACAGGTTCAATTCCTGGTCTGAGTGTGTACAGAAAGCAACCAATCTGCCCCCGCCTCCCGCCCCCTCTAAAAAGACCAATAAAAAGATATTTTTTAAAAAAAGAAAAGCTCGGCTGACATGGCTCAGTGGTTGAGTGTTGACATATGAACCAGGAGGTCATGGTTTGATTTCCAGTCAGGGCACATGCCCAGGTTGTGGGCTTGATCCCCAGTAGGAGGCGTGATTCTCTCTCATCATTGATGCTTCTATCTCTCTCTCCCTCTCTCTTCCTCTCTGAAATAAAAATATATCAATAAAAATATATTTAAAGAAAAGAAAACATGGATGTCTAAAATAAACAAACTAACATTAACAAGGGCAAATTCTGAAATGGTTAAATCAGAAAGTTATGGAAATACTGTTTAGGAGCTTACCTGTAGACCTATTTCATCAGAAACTTAAAAAAATTCTGATAAAGACATCAAAGTTTATTCATTTAATTTATTATTCCTCAATTAGATGTTCAATAAATATTTGCTGAGTAAATGAAATTTTAAAATAAATTTCTAGAATAAGAATAAAAAATGATCACTTAATATTTCAGAAACCTATTATTAGAAGATACTTAGAAAATTATATACAATACATTGAGTAGTCATTACGTAAAGAAATTTGCTAAGAGGCAGACAAAATTTCTAGGTAACTAGATTCTTCCACAATAGATTTTTTAAAAGTTAACTTTGATCTTTCTAACTAAAATATTTTAGTTTTATATACTTGTTAATTTCATTAGCATTTAATAACTCTTTTTTGTATGAACAGAATCCTTTAAAGTTTTAAATAGTTTAAAATTCATAAATACCTCAACAAGTTGTGCTTTATTAAGTCCTGGTCTGGTTGGTAGTTTGAAGTGTCTTTTGTATCTCCTAAGTGTATTTACTTGTAATTGGTATAAATCAACCTAGAAAAAATTAACATATATGAATTAGTTCAAGCAATCTGTAAAAACGTATCTTTGATATGTATAATAACATTTCAATTATAGCACAATAAAATTTTCATTCTATTATTTTATAGAATCAAAACTATAAATGTAATAAACATTTTGAGGATAAATATTAAAAACTGTTTAGGGGGAAAGTAAGACAACAGAACTATAAGAATTGACAATTAAAAATATAACAAGTGAAATTGTGTAACTGTGTGTTAACTGGCTATATTTAATTTTGCTTTCATTTCCAGATTTTTCAAATGTTTTAAGCATTTTTCAAATGTGTTCATATCTTTTTATGAAAGTTTCACAATGGACTACTTAGGATTTACATTTAACATGTAAAAACTTTTCTCTACCTCTGGAGTATCAATATCTTGAACTGGTGAATCTCCTCCATCATCATCACTCCCTTTTCTCTTTCTTCTGTTACGAACACTCTGAATTAAATTTTTATGATAATCACAAATGTAAAGATGCCTTACCTGAAACAGAAAAGTTTCACATACTACTTAGAATTACAGTAAAATACATCTATGTATTAGTAAAATACATAGACCACAGTGAATCATCTAAAAAACAACAGTCAAAACAGGGCATTGTTAAGGGATTTTTTTTCTTTCTAAAGTTCTAAAGTCCTGCACACAGTTAAAACATGCATGTCTGGCAACACCGTTAAGAAGCTTGGGAAGTGGGGGGGATGACCATAAGGGAGGAAAAAAGAAGGAGAAATTCAACCTCTAGACTTTGTCAGTGAGGGTCAACTAGATGAGTTAAATCATGATGTTTTGCTAACAAGGAGAATAATGATGTAGCCCACGATTTTGCTATTTGATAGTATTTTCCCTATTTAAAGAGCATATGTTAGTAGCATAATAAATGCTTTCTAATCTTTCTAATTTAATACTTCAAATATAAAACTATTTCTTTTTACAAATGAGCTATTTATTTTCACATTCTAACTATATTTAGATTTGAAATGATAAAGTTTCCTGATTATTAAATGTATTTACCTGTAATACGTTTTCCCAACCAAAGCAGTGGGAAATTATTCAAGTGTATCTAAAAAGTTTCTCATGAATATGACTGAAGAACTGTTTAAACACGCAGAAGGTATACAAACCTTCCAAGATATTAATTACATATAGTTTTTCGAGCTGTATACTAACGTGAAATACTGGGCTTCATACAATAACAGCTACTTCTTTAAAAAAACAAACACAAACCCCACAAACAAACAAACAATGAAGGACTGAGCTAACAGGTTTTTACATGAACTTTAATGCTAAATGCAAGTTAAAAATGAGCAGGAAGCATGCGAGACTCTGACTTCTTGTTCTTAATTTAGTGCCTGCCAGAGCTCCGGAAAGTGGCAATGGTTGTGTCTAAAAGTCTCATAGACATAGATGGTCAAAATAACAGACGCGCAGAAAGGACGTTAAAGGAAATCCTGATGGCAGCGCAAAGCCACAGAGACTACGTGCTCACCGCGCTGGGAGCAGCTGCCCAGAGGCTGACACCGCCGCCACCGTCCCCAAGCCCGGCCCCCTGCAAAGAGCAGGGGGAGCTCGGCCACCCTCTCGCCGTGTACTCCGGGGGACAGGAAGCGGGATCTTTCCCGACTGCGGCGTCAGGTCCTTGCAGGATTCCACTTTCCCGAGACCCGGGAACCTACTCCCTGGGGCCAAACGCCAGCTCGGGGCAGCAAAACAAAGGCGCCTCCATTCCAAAGGAGCAGCGGGGCTGCAAGAAAACTACCCCATTCCCTCCCTCCGAGCGCTGCTTCCCTTTGTTTCGCTCCCAGTTCTCAGCGAAGGGGGGAGGGAGAAGGCAGGGAGCGGGAAGGACGCGGGGGGCGGGGTGTGGGAGGCTGCGGGGGCGAGGGAGCACGGCGTGCAAGTGTGTGTCTTGCGGGAGTGGCGGTCGGAGTTGCTGCGACTTTGTTGTTTGCTTCCTACCAGAGACCCCCACCGCGGGTGTGCACTGGCTGACAGGTCTGGGGGAGCCCTGAATCCCTGGCCCAACAGCCCCAGTGTGAACCGCCCCCGGACCCCCCAGGGGCGGGAAGGCAGGGGCAGGGCCGGCCCCCCCCGCCACTTTACGCTCTTATCCCAGCTCGGATCTTCACCCTTCTTCTGCGAGAATGCTCTTCTGGATCCTCTTTTCTTGAAGTTGGGGTTGCTGGCCGCCCGGGCCCGCACCGTTCTTCCGGTCCTTCCCGCAGAAAGCAAAATTTGTCCCGGGGGCC